GGTGGTGGTGGAGTATCATATATTTATTTTTTTTGGAGTATTGTGTTAATGGGGTGTTAGTGGCTTTGTTAGGTGGAATAGGGTGGCTAATAGGCTTGAATGGAGATTGTTACGAGATTTGGAAGAGATTTTAGGATATTAGTTTTGGACTCTTGTCCAAACCGATCAATTTACTCTGAACGGTATGCGCTTTTTCGCCCAAACTGCTCCGAATTGAAAACGGATTGTGTTTATTGAATCAGACTGTCAAAACTAGAATTTTGTTGTAATCAAAATATTTTTCTGAGAACTCTTATATTTTTCTCAGTGTCTGGGTCTGTCTTAGTCATAAATTAATTTAATAATATAAATGAGATAAAAATATATGAATTAAATCCAAATGACAAATATAGTGTTGTCAAGTGTCAAAATTGTGATTTCTAATCTGATGAAATCACTTTTGAATTGAGTTTATTTTATGGGTCAAAGTTACAAATTTTAATATTTAAAATCGTCATAACTTGAAATCTATAAATCAAATTGGTTCATAAAATATACCGTTGGATTCGTCTCTTCGAGACATATCCATAAAAATAAGTTTTTACACAAAGTCATTATTTTGAAAATCCATTTATTTTTGGTCAAACGTAAAAATATTCTTTATTAGACAAAAACTACTTTTGTTTTATAATAAATTTTAGGCCATATTTTGTGGCGTTACATGCATGGTTCCATTCATTCTTCTACATTGTGGCAAATACTTTCTCAGAATATGTATTTAAAAAAGCAATGGAAAAAATAAAAGAGGAGGATGCGGATGCCTATAACTGGCTCAAGGACAATGAATGTATATATATTTATATATATATATATATTTTATATATATATATATATATATATATATATATATATATATATATATATATATATAGATATATATATATATATATTAACCCGGTGGAAACCATCAAACTCGATGGGGTAAGGACCAGGAAACCCTTACCAAGTAGATTAATAGAAGAAAGGATTACAAGGTTAAAGAGAGCCTACAGCCCAAAAAACCCAAAATACAATCACAAAAAGAAGAAAGGTACAAAATTTAAGGAATAAGCATCCATTTCAGGCCAATATCCTCAGCTTCAGCTCGTTTGATCGTTCTCCTAACCTTCTTATTGCTCCAAATCCATGATTGCATGAGGTTAGAGACATCCATAATCACCATTTTTGCTTCCACCTTCCTCCCATCATGTTTAATTTTATTATGCCTCTTCCATAGATTCCATAAAATCCAGCCCGGAAGTACCAGCTTCAACATGCCATTGAGAGTTTTTTTATCATGACTGCACCACCACTCTATGAGATGTTGGATGATAGTTATGTTTGATCTCAACTTTGGTCCTCCTAGAAGAGCTTCAAAAAAACTCCACACCTCTTTAGAGATTGTACAGTGTAAAAGGACATGGCTATCACTATTATCACCTCTTCCACAAAGATAGCAGCCTGGGGAAACTTCAAAAGGAAATCTATGCATATTATTAGCAAAAGGGAGGATATGGGATAAGCATTTCCAAAGGAAAAGCTTGATCTTTGGAATCTGCAATTTATTCCAGGCTAGAGAGAAAGATAGTGAACCTGGTTCCTCCGCTTTCACTGCCTTGAATGCCTTCTTGAAGGTAAATTCTCCATCTTCCCAAAAAAACTGGCCATCATTACAAAAGGTATTTTCAAGGGCAATTGAGTGAATTCTGCAAATCCGCTTCCAGATAGGAGAGTCAATGGCCTTAGCTGTGAAATCTCCCTGCCGATTATACCTTTTATACATGAAAGTGGCCCAAAGAGAACCACCCCTCGTGTATTTCCACCAAAGCTTCAGGGAAAAGGCCTTTTGAATATTTTCCATCGATCACAGCCCTAAACCTCCACTCTTCCTGTCCTTACATAGTTCCTCCCATTTCACCCAGTGGTATTTGTTCTTTCCGTTCTTGTTACCCCAAAAGAAATTTGCCATCAGATTTTGAATGTGTCGTAGTATGCTTAAGGGAACATCTTGAACAGCCATAATGTGCATAGGAATACATGACAAAACATGTTTTATTAAGAGAAGTCGTCCCATGGGGTTTAGTAATTTATTATACCAACTATCAATGTAACCAGTAATGTGGATCAGTAATGGTTCACAATCACGTTTCTTCAACTTTCCTTTGCCAATGTGACTACCAAGATATTTAAAAGGAAGTGTACCTTTCGATATCCCTAGGGCAGCCTCCATTCTCAGGACTTTATTAAGAGCCACTGATTTGCTACAATAAAACCTACATTTGCCTTTATTGATAGTCTCCCCTGAGTCGTAAGCATACTTCTCAATAAGCTTTCGTAATCTAAGAAGATTACGGACATTCCCATTGACAAATAATATGAGATCATCCGCAAAAGTCAAATGTGAAACCACAGGAGTCTTACCAACTTTGAAGGGCATAAGAAATTTGGAGTCAATAGCTGCCTTGATGCTTCTAGAGAATCCTTCTGTGGCTATTATGAAGAGAAAAGGAGAGAGAGGGTCTCCTTGTTTCACTCCCCTCTTCATCAGAAAAAAGCCCTTGGAGAAGCCATTGACCTTAACACTCATGAAGGTACCTACCAGATTGCTCATAAGAAGATTCACTGCCGAGATATCAAAACCGAATCTCCCCAGAACAGCCCGAAGATAATTCCAAGATAATTTATCAAAAGCCTTTTCCATATCCAGCTTGACAATAACATTTCCTCCCCTACTGCTGTTCTCAATGCTATGAACAAGCTCATTAGTAAGGAGTATCTGTTCCTCCACACCTTTTCCGTTTTGAAATCCAGCTTGTTCAGAGGAGATAATTTTGGGAAGAAGACGTGAGAGTCTATTTGCTAAAATTTTGGTAATTATCTTGCTCATAAAGGTAGATAGTGAAATGGGTCTATAGTCGCCAATGGCAGCAGCACCCTCTTTCTTGGGAATGAGAATTATTTGAGTACTTCCAAAAGCTTTTGGGACAGGAATTCCAAGAAAAAACTCTTGGCAAGCCTTAATAACATCCGCCCGAATGATATGCCATGCTTGCCTGAAGAATTGCCCATTGTATCCATCGGGACCTGCACTGCTATTTGGATTCAGAGCCCAAACAGCCTCCCAGATTTCCTCTTCTTCCGGGAGTTCAACCAACAAAGAATTATCTTCAGCAGTGATAAGGGTGGGGATGTTCACTAAAGTGCTCTCGGGAATGGAGTTGCATTCCATTCCTAAGATATTCTGAAAGTGACTCAAAAATGTGTTCCCAATTTCCTCAGTATGAGAAGTGTAGGTTCCATCCTCCTTCTTGATCTTGCTAATCAAGTTCTTCTTTTGACGACCTTTGACAAGGGAGTGAAAGTATTTGGTAGATGTATCTCCTTCCTTGAGCCATTTGACATTAGCTTTCTGAAACCAGAATTGAGACTCTTTTTTACTGGTTAGAATGAGTCTGGCATTAGCCAAACTCATAGCTATTCTGTTCTCCTCGCTGCTATCAATTTCAAATTTTCTCACCGCTTCCTCTGCCTGTTGTTCAGCTTCATCTAAATTCTTAAAAATGTCACCAAACGTAACGTAACTCCAGTCTCTAAGAATGGGCTTGAGGTTGTGAAGTTTGCTGGCCAATCCTCTCATGCCCCCTCCTGCTTCCCAACCAAAAGAACCCCAAGCTTTTGAGACGACATCATGGAAATCCTTGTGATAGCCCCAGAAGTTAAGGTATCTAAACGGTTTAGGACCCAAGAAAATAGAATTTTTACATTCCAAAATCAGAGGTTTGTGATCACTGGTAGCCCTACTCAAGATAGTGGTGGTAATGTCATCAAAGAGATTCCGGAAGTTGACATTTAACAGGATTCTGTCAAGTTTCCTATGCACTGTCCCGGTTGACCTCTTACCCATCCAAGTAAATAAGCTACCTTTAACTTGAGGTTCACTAAGCTCACAAGCTTGAATGCAATCATCCATGTCTGCCATACTAGAGGCACAAGGGCTAGAAGAGCCCTTATGTTCCAAGGGAGAGGCAATTGCATTGAAGTCACCACCCACCAACCAACATTCATCTAGTGGCATATGGAACGCAAGAGTCTCCCAAAGTAATTTCCTTCCTTCCCTAGTGTGCTGACCATAGACAGTAGTTATGGTTATAGCCTTATTGGTGCTTATGTCAATGAAACGACAACTGATTGCCTGGTCTTCTTCCTGCACCTGAGTTAGTCTCATATTCTCCTCATTCCAAAGAACCCAGATTTTATTTTGAACAGCAGAGAAGCCCAGGTGGCAATGCATTTGTTTGGCTGATTCTGCTCTTAAAATGAACTGTGTTTCAATAATGATCTGTGTAGGGTTATGCCAATGCCAATGCCTTCGGGTTGGTTATGATCATGAGTTCCAAAAACATCACATGAAGTGTATTGTTATTAAAAAAACATCTTTTCCACAATGATCATCTTGAGTTCCAAAAACATCACGTGAAGTGTACCAATTGAACAAAGACTACATAAAAATACAAACCCGTTTTCATAAATCATACAAACACTAGTTCAAGGATTCAAGCAACATCAAATTACATAAACAATACAAATATTGCCATGTTGAGGACCAATGCAGCACAAAACCCAAACATAAAGGCTCCAATTTTCTTCTCTTTGTTACGCTTGTTTAGAAGCTTTATCTCTTCATCTTTTGCACTGCTCTTCTTTAGAAGTCCGGGAATGAGCTTCTTAGCTCGTTCACATATTGGAGGATCGAGCCATTCCCAAGAACGACATTTCCGAGTACCCTATTCAACATCAACCTACTTTAGCAAAAAACAAATTAATATCGCTAAAAAACTTAAATATATGTCTTACATTTCCATCACACTTCCACATTCTTCTTCTGGGATTCTTATCAGTCCAAGATGTAAGAATAGTCATGTCTTTCCCGCACCTACAGGTAGGTACCTCCAACCATTCACCATACTCACAAATTCTTCTTGATGAATTGAAAGAGTGGCTAGTAAAAAAATCAAAAAATAGAGCGTATAGTTATAAATGAACTATGTAGAGTAATTCACAGTAATAATATTTGCTTTAATACCTTGAATCCATTACTGATCGAAGATCAGATTCAAGATCAGTTCAAACACAAGATTCAAATGTAGAATAAACCTGCGCCCAAATGCAATAAACCCCAAACTCATGTTGAACAGGTTACAAGCACGAGAGCTTAGCCAATTTCAGATAATACCTGAAGAAGCACAGATGAAGCTTCGACTCTCTCCTTCGTCTCTCTCCTTCGAAGCAAAGCCGTAAACTTGAAACCCTAGTGTTTCAGCTTTTCTAACATTAAAGAGGAAAGAGTGAGGGTTATATTAGGCATTTCACAACTTTTTTTTAATTAAAATAACCGGAGTTAAGGTAGGAAACGGTGGTTTGGACGGAAGTTCCCTCCTCAGTCACAAACATCATATTTTAGGTCCCTGCGAGTAATTTTTTTAAAAAAATGGGACCTGCGAGTCTTTATACCAAAATAGAGGGTACCTGACAGCAATTTTTTGTTAATATAGCTCTAATGTTTTTTTTACTCCGTACAAAAATGCTACGAATTCATTACGAATTCTTTCACACATGACAATTACATATTCTTTATACATACATAAAAAAAATTATTAGTACATTGAGTATCCTTATTCTTTTAAAAAATAAAAGTGACGCCACCCATAGTTGGTTGCCCCAATCCGCCCTTCATGGCCACTTACGTAAAAACAAAAAAAATCAAAAAACAAAAATATTGTATTGTTATTTCATACGTTACATTACTATTATATTACTTTGTTATATATTATCCTTGTTTATTTCTAAAAAAACAATCTTGCTCTATCTACTGGTACACCAAATTGTACCCTACTTACACCACATATTTTTATTTATTATCATTTTTTTATCTACACCAAAAAATTCAATACTTCCTTCATCTCACAAAAAAAATTTCTCTGTTAAAAAAAGGTACATTTTAAAAATGTATTATTCTAGTACTATGTATTATTTTCTAAATTCTAATTTGATGTAATTAATGTTATTTTATAATATGGTATGGTAGGATATGTATAGAGTATGTAGAGGGAGTAGATTATGTTGATTTTTAGATAGTAAGATTATGTATTTGGCTTTTGTGAGAATAATGCAATCGCACATTTGTTTTAAAAAGTAGGATATGACATTTGTATAAAGATTAGAAAATAATATCAAAATTATACATTTCTAAAGCCCATTTTTTTTCAAAGAAGAAATTTTTGTATGGAACGAAAGGAGAGTACGTTTTTCTTCAAGTTAGCCCCCAGTGGTTTGGATTTCTAGATCCGCCACTGGAGAGAGTCTCTTGGAGGACTGGACTAGCCACGAGGTGGTGAACCAGTATACATCGTGGTGATCTTCTTCTTCTTTACTCTTTGCTTTATTCTTGCAAGTTTCACGCTTTATTTTTATTTCTCGCGAAAAACGTTCATTCTAGATCACAACTCTATTCACCACCCCTCTACAGTTGCATCTCTTGTCTAACGAAATTGCTAGTATATTTTCAAGAATGTAGAAGTATGTGAAAGTTAATGTTAAGTTCAAAGAGGGTAATTTTTTTTTTTTTTGCATTTTTTATATAAATAAAGCATGTCTTATTTGAAAAAGGCATTACAGGCCATATATAACTTTTTTCTTTTAAATATTTGAAGTATTATCTTTAAGCCCATAAATATTAAACATGTTTTTACTTTTATCCGTTAATTACTTTTTATAATTTTCAAATGTTATGTATTTTTGATAAATAATATGCATACCATTTAAGAATATAGCAATTAATTTGTAACAAAGAATAAAACATTTAGTATTTAAGAATATTATCTGATAGTGATTATATTTATAATATTTAATATTATATCATAAAATATTCAATTATGAACACCAAGAAATAATTAACTTATTATTGCACATTAATTATTTATCCATTAATATTTTTTTGCCTTTTAATATATGTAGTATATTTATTTGAATTTTTTAAAAAATATTTTAATATCAATTTTATATTATTTGATTTTTTAGGAAAACAATATTTGATTATTATTTATGTATCTCTTTCAATTAAGGAAATCAGAAAGAATATAATAGAGAAAAAAAAACATATAGGCGTCATAAGAACTGGAGGAATTCCCTAAGTGGGAAAATCTTGCAAAGTATTTTCCGTCACTTTGGAATTTCGCATGTCAATCATACGAAAACCCTGATGGCCACTTTCCATACTTTTAACTGTAGTACTCTCCACCCATTATTTTAAAACATTTGTCTTTTTTTTTAACTTTTCTTTTACAAAATCTATTTTACTTGTAATTTTTTATGCACAAATTATTACCGGAGTATTTGATAAAAATTATACTGTTGAATACCTCTCATCAAGTTCTATCTAATGAGACCAATTATGCATATAAAATTTTAAATATTTTTTAGTTATCATTTAAGTCGAATATTATAATCTAATATTTATTTTTATCATTTTAAAATAAAAATTTTACCAAATACTTGTATTTTTGAATCCAATTATATTTAAAAAATGAATAATAACTACTCGATTTAATCCCACGAAAGTCGGGTCAGGGAGAGTGCGTGCGAAGGACCACGAAACTCGTTTTCTTTAAACTATTTCTACTGCCCAACCAATTACTTAAAAAATAATATATTTTTTATGTGATTATTATTATTATTACGACTCTTATGTTCATAACTATAGTTTATAAATTGTTTTTTCATCTCATTATTTTTATGATTCACACTCATTATTTTTTCTTCAACTTTTTAATATGAATAAGATAATTTTTTGTGTATCAGTCCACATGATAAAGTAGGAAAATATCAATATTTTAAACTATATTTAAAAACTACGAATAGAATAGTTACATAAAATGTTTTATTAATCTAACTTTATATAAAATCCCTCACCTTTTCCCTTTATTAGTCAAATTTTTCTCAATTTTCTAATTATGTTTTGTGATTGTACTTTGTTAAGCTTCCGTAACATTGATAATGGTAAGCTAGGGTGTTAACACAAAAATGATGAGTAATGTTAAAGATATCTAGAAAAACTCTAAAATATACCCTTTTGGAAATTGATGATGATTATTAAAGATATCTAGAATAACTCTAAGATATACATATTTGGATATTGATGATGATTGTTAAAGATATCTAGAAGAACTCAAAGATATACCTCCTTGACCAATTCACAATTCGGGAACGTACATACGGGATCTAGACCGGATAATTGTGTTGTTATGAGACATGGTTTAAATTCGCTTCCGCATTATTAAACACTCTGTATTTTATCAGTTATGTATTAAATACTGTATTATTAATGATAAATAAAGATGTTTGAAATGTATTTCTTATCCATAAGAATTAAAATTTTGATTATTCAATAAGACCAATTAATATCAAATTGTATCACAGTTATAAGTTTTTTTTAATGAAAACTATATTTTAAATCTTATCTCTAACCTAAAAATATAAGCGAGACATAATGTCAAAATTATGCTCCCTCGGTTTCAATGTATTTTATAGTTTGACTTTTTCAAATTAGACTAGATGCGCTTTGAGTTTCAATTACATAGAAATCGTGAGTAAAAAAGTATTTAATCCGTGGTCAAAAGGTGCCACAGTTTGACTAAAAAAGTCATACTGTGTCAATATTTTGACCTATAATAAAATAAAATATATTTTTTATATTAATTAGATAAAATAATATTTTAAAAATATTTGATATAATAAATTTAATAAAACTATTTTTATATCAATATCTAATATGATTTTTATTTAATTTGAGATTAAAATTTATCAATTTTGACCAAAAGAAATCAAAAGTGGATAAATAGATGGAAGTAGTAAATAAACTACTCCCACTTGTGCAGATAATGTCAGAATAAAAGAGCACAATTCGCACTTATGGAATGCGAAAGTGTGGCTGAGGAATTAGGTGGTTAGTTTTAGGAATTTAATTTTAGTTTTTTTCCATGTGAGGGAAACCACCCCATAAGAACTATAGGGCTCTGTCGCAAGAAAAAAAAGAATGGAAACAAATGCCAACTGCGGAGTATTGCGATTGCGGAGAAGGAGACAGCGACTGCGTCACCAGGGATCAGAATCGCGATTAGGCGTCATCGAACCTTCTCGTTGTTGGTTTGATTTGTGGATATTTGAGAATGGAATCTTAGGAAAGAAACGAAAATGCAATGTGGTGTTTTAGAATGTGAGAAAAACTTACACAATTCAAAATTAAATTACACAATTTGAAAAACTTGCAGAATCCTGTGCTTTTTAAATTTAATTTTTTTACAAATTAATATAGAAATAAAATATAAAATTTTTATATTAACAAAATACATCAAAAGTTCTAAAGACCATGATGCATAATGTGTCAGTGGAGGCGGTCCGAGCCGACATTCCACGCCTCCACGGTGACCGGTAGATATCATCTAAGGCTGTTGTCATGGGAAAATGGCGACGAACGACGATGATCAGTTGCAGCATGGTGGGGGCAGAGCAGTAATAGCGACGCTGCAGTGAGAGGTCTGTGACGACGGCAGGGGGAGGCGTTGTAGTTGAATTTTCTTTTTTTTTCTTTTTATTATTAATTTTTGTCTTATTTTGGAGTTAAAAACATTGCAGACCTATTTTTGTATATTTTTCATGTAGTAGGTATTTTTCTAAATAATAATAATAATAATAATAATAATAATAATAATAATAATAATAATACTCCCTAATAATAACAACAACAATAATACTCCTTCCGTCCCAATTTAAATCGCCTATTTTGATTTTTGGGCATATTTAAGAAAAATAAAAAATAGAATTAATTTTCTGAAATTGACATTAGTTCTTAGGAGGGGTGATGATAAATGAGAAGATAAGGTGAAGAAGAGCGATTTATTTTAGGGGTAGTTTAGGTATTTTATTTTTAAAAGTTTACGAAAATAGAAATCACCCTAAATAGGACTAAAACATAGATAAAAGTACTAAAATAGGACTTTCATGTTTTTTTTCCCGAAATAAGACTTTGCACTGTGGTAATGTGACTTTGCCCTGTAGTAATGTGGCAGTGTACATGTGCAAATTACTATACGTTTTTGGTAATGTATATGACCATGTATGGTAATGTAAGTCCTATTTCGAGAATAAAAACATGGAAGTCCTATTTTGGTATATCTTCAATGTTTTAGTCCTACTTTGGTCTTTCTCCCTTACGAAAACAACTAACACGCAACTTATTTTGGGACAGAGAAAAAGGCAAACAGACAATTTAAAGTGGGACAGAGGGAGTAATAATAATACTCCCTCCGTCCCAAATTATTTGCCACATTTGCTTTTTCAGCAGTCGCGGGAACTTTTGTTTATTTCTACATTTTCATAGGTTATTTGATAAAATAAAATATTCTTGACACCTCTTATTTCGAAGAACTTTTCATATAGTTTTTTGATATGTAATTTTTATTTTTTATTTCTTTACCAATATGTGAATAAAATGAATTGAAAAAAATTAATATTTTGCCCCGGTAATAGAAATGTGACAAATAATTTGGGACGGAGGGAGTAATAATAATAATCCATTCCACGTGGTACCTGTTCATTCGTTTAGACAGGTACCAAAGGTACACGTCACTCAGATACGAAATGCCTTTTACGTTCGTCTTCGTCTTCAGTCGATACGGATCCTCTGGTTCGCAGACCACAATTCGTCTTTTCTTCCATCTAATTTTTCTTATACTGCCCTAGGGTTCGCAATTTGCAAGTAGGAGTAATACAAATGAAGATGAATTTCGCATGGAGTTGTGTCTTACTTCTATCCTCTAATCTTTTGTACGGCGTTGTTTTCGCCAATCAGATCTTCCATCCTCATACAGGTTCCAAAACGTGATCGTGATATTTGTTATTTTTTTCTAATATATACTCTCTCTGTTCCTAATTAGTGTTCTTTGTTTGACTTACAAATAGATTGAGAATGAATAAGAATGGTGTATAAATTTGTGTGGAGTTATTTATTGAAGAGGAAGAAATGAGCTGAATTGATGGAAATGTTGTTAAAGAATTTTTAGGAAAGTTTCATGGCTGGGAAAAGAATTGCAAACAAAGAAGTATGAACAATAATACTCCGTATAAAACAACAAGAAAAGAAAGCAAACTTATGAACAAAAGTGGTATTTTTTATGGCCTTGTTTGGGAAGAGTGTTTTCGACTAGCGTTAGCGATTTGGATAAAATTCTAATGGTGTAGATTAATTCTGAAAACGCTAACGTTAAAGGCTACCGTCGGATAGCCTTTTCAAAACGCTAACACTAATCTTTAACGCTGATGCCAAACGCGACCTATGTTAAGCTCGTGTCTGTTGTTGAACATTTGGTTTCTACTCAAACAACCACATAACGTTTGATCGTTAACTTCTCATTTCATCAGGTGATTGCACACAGCATTCTTTAGGCTATCTATCACCCTTTCATTTGTTGTGACTAGGTTTTTAGTTTTGATCAAAATGTTGACTGTATTTCATATCAAGATGCTTTTGGATGGGTCTAGAGTTTACAAGTATTATTATGCCCTTCAACTATTTTTCTCACTTTTGATGTCAGGAGGGACTCTTGGTCGAAGCTCTAAAGAACCAAAATACAAAATTGAATTTCATCCAGAAGACTCACCTTTTCACCCAGTAAGTTATTCTGCTAACCTGATTGTAATTTGAGTCCTTTTAAATGTGTTCTTCGGCATCCTTGAAAGGAAAGTGGGTCTTCTTTCATTGGTATTCTTTGTTACTTTATACTTATTAGTTTATTGTTCTCATAGGTCTGACATTTTATGTCATGGAGGAACTGCACTCTTCTCTTGACACAAATTTTAGTTACATGATTGTTGATTTTCTAATTAATCAAGTTAGTATGATGCATTACTTCAATGGGCCAGTCTGTACATTTTGTGTTGCAGGATGATGATCAGGAAGCTGTTGTCATGCCCAACAATAAAGGAGAGAAGTTTCTTTGTTTTCTGCCCAAAGTGCATAATTCAAAAAGCAGTAAACTAGTCAGTCAACAGAATACAAGCAGTTTGATCTTGGAGACTGAGAAACACATAAAACCAAAGACACCTGATGAGCTACTTGATGTGCTTAAGGATGCATGCCTTCTCAGGGTTAGTATATCTGGAACTACTCTTTTCACTTACGCGTGAGATTTAGAGAGTATGTTCTAAAATCAAAAATCAATATCGTAATAGATGGATCAAATTATGGATTGCTTGGTGTTTTGTTGCCATTATGCCCCTGTATTTTACTTACAACTTCAATATTTTCCAGCAAGAAGGGTGGTGGTCATATGAATTTTGTTACCAGAAAAAGCTACGCCAAATTCATGTGGAAGATGAGAAGGTATTCTTCATTTGCCTGTTAGTGGTTCCCACACTAATAATTAGGTTTATTTGTTTGACTTTTAATTTTTTAATTTGAAGCTTTGATCTTTTCACCAGTAGTTTGCTCACCAGGTTAGCTATATTTCATGCTTTACTAGCATGCTTACCATGCTAAATAATGTAAAGCAGTCTACTACCAAAAAAAACTGTTTAAAGTTTAAACCCATTTTTTATTCTACTCTTGTTTTATATGTGATTATATTTCTCTGTTTTTAAATCCCATGCGTCCTTTTCTGGTAATCTAAACTCAATCCAGACATGTGTTCTTTTGCTTCTGAGTCTTATAGGTGGTACAAGAATTTGTCTTGGGGTACTATGACAGTGAGGCAACTATGGCTTATAATGAGAACCGGTCTGATATTTCTACATTAAAAGATCCCCGTTCAAAAGATTCTTCGCAAAGGTATAAATTCACATACAAGAAGTTGTAGATGAACCAGTGATTTTGTTATACAGTTATATACCCAATCCAAAGACCCTTAGCATAAAACTTACCCTGGATTTATCTTCTTTGCCATCAGAAATTGGTTTTACTGATTTTATTCTATATGCAGATATCATGCTCATTTGTATACAAATGGAACTGTCTGTGATTTAACAAACCAGCCACGAGAAACAGAGGTATAAATGTGACTCTTGATTTGGTTTCTTTATACATGTGTGTGTGTACTTATGAAAGTTGTCTTCAGGTGAGGTTTGTTTGCTCAGAGCCAAGGGCTATGATAAGTTCCATCACCGAGTTGTCCACCTGCAAGTATGCTCTCACTGTTCACTGTCCAATACTCTGCAAGCACCCGTAAGATTCCCATTGTAGCATCCATATAAATTTGACATTATTGTCTTCCAATAAACCACATATGTCCAGTTTCCATGACGAAATTTCTGGTTTGGGCAGTCTTTTTCAGGAAGAAAGACCGGAGTGGCACACAGTTAACTGCAATGTACTCCCTAAAGAAAACAAAGAGATGAAGATGCCGGAGGAAAACTTACGAGGAGAAAGGATTAGGATGGTAACAGATCTCGAGTATCCCTCCAGCCCCACATTTGATTCAGAAGAATACGCAGCATAAAATGTTTTTGAAGGTTTTTTTTCCCAGTCTTGCAGCATCCTTCATTGCTCAATCACAGTATGATATTATATACTACCTTCTTTATCCCTCGTGACTCGTGTATTTAGATGACATGCAAGGTGAATTCATATAATGTAACCAAATTTACTAATTTAATCTACTTGTCATTCATGGTTGTGAAGTTTGGACTCCTATTAGGCTATCTGTAAAGGGCCGCGACCCTATGTTTGTGATGGCGGTCAAGACCCCCTCCCCCTTATAACACATCTTCAAGTGACCCAGGATGATGGAGTGCACTGTCACGAGTTGCCTACATGGCGATGATCAAGCCTCCCATCAAGCAAAAGAGTTCGTCTCAGGTTCCGTGGTGAATTCTTAACTGATATGGAGTATTATAAGGGTAATACTTCGTATTAGTTTAGTATTACGTCGTAATAAATAATTAAATAAAGAAGTAATTGTAAACTGTTTTAAATTCTCTATCCTTGTAGGATCAATTTTTTACTTTAGAAATCATCCTAAATAGGACTAGAACATAGAGAAAAGTACCAAAATATGATTTCCATATTTTTTCTCCAAAATAAGACTTTGCACTTTGGTAATGTGACTTTGCCCTGTTGCAATGTGGCAATGTACATATGCAAATTACTACACTTTCGCAAATGCCGTCACAGATAATGCTACAAGAACATTTGGATTCCCTTGTAAATTCCGTCGCAAATTCTATGACGGTGACCATCCGTCGTAGCTTTCGTCGCAGAGTTGTGACGTCATGGTCGCACGGACGTTTGCGGCCAAAAAACTACGACGGATGGGAAGAGGTCGCAAATGCCGTCGCAAAGCTTAATTGTGAAAAAAAAGAAGCCATTTGCGACGGAAATTTTCCGTCGCAAAAATCTGAAATTCTTGTTGTGTGTGTGCGTCCATATATATATGTGTGTGTGTGTGTGCGCGCGCGCGCGTGTGTGTGTGCGCGTGTGTGTGTGCGTGTGTGTGTGTGCGTGTGTGTGTGTGCGTGTGTGCGTGTGTGCGTGTGTGCGTGTGCGCGTGCGCGAGCGCGTGCGTGCGTGTGTGGGTGTGTGTGTTTGTGTGTGATTGTAATGCTTATTGTGTTAGGAATAGAATTATGGTAGAAGTAGAATTATGGTAGTTTACATATTTGCTTTGTTTCTCCTCCTATATAAAAGGGATTGATCCTTTGTATTCCTCAATATTTTCTCTCACATTATTTTCTTCACGGTATCAGAGCAACTAAACCTAGGGAATTTTTAACCATAGAATCGCCGTCAACACTGTGATTTGTGGGGTGGTTATTGTACTCCTTCTCGTACTTGGGCAAGATACTTCTTATCAATTGTTGATAATTTTTCACGGGATGTATGGGTATACTTGTTAACTCATAAATATGAAGGCCCTTCTGTTCTTCGTAGTTTCTTTCCTTTGATTGAGCATCAATTCAATAAACAAGTCAAAGTCGTACGCAGTGATAATAGTACGGAATTCACTTGTTTAAAATCTTTCTTTGATAATCATGGTATAATCTTTGAGTCTTCTTGTGTTGGCACCCTTCAACAGAATGGTCGAGTTGAGCGAAAACACTGTCACATTCTCAACATTGCCAGAGCACTTCGTTTCCAAGTCAATCTTCCTCTCAAATTCTGGGGTGATTGCGTGCTTACCGCAGTTTACCTTATTAATCGCAAACCTTCTGATATGAACAAAGGCAACACACCATATTCGGAGCTACTCAGAAAAACTCTCTTATATAACCATATCCGAGTTTTTGGATGTCTTGCTTATGCCCACAATCAATCTCACAAAGGAGACAAATTTGTTCCTAAATCGCGTCGTTGTGTCTTTCTTGGCTATCTGTTTGGACAAAAGGGGTGGCGTCTTCTCGGCTTAGATACCAACAGAATATTTGTTAGTCGAGATGTCAAGATCTTTGAAAATCACTTTCCCTTCATCTCCCATTACACACCCTGCCAACTCAAGAACCTTTACGCCAAAGTGACAGAAACGTCGTCCTCCATTGCGACTACGTGACTTTGTCACTCACACCATTCAAAGCTCCTCTACTAAATCACCCAAACTATTGCCAACTTTAGGTACAACACATTGTATTACTGATTTTATTAACACTGACAATTTTTCTACTTCTCATATATGTTTTTGGCAGCTATAAGTGCAGATGTTGAGCCTACATTCTTTTCTGAGGCGGTCAAAAACCCGCTATGGGTAAGAGCTATGAGGGAGGAAATTCAGACGTTGGAAGGAAATGGGACTTGGTCACTTGTCCCCCTACCTCCCAAAAGGAAAATAATAGGATCCAAGTCGGTCTATAAAATAAAGCACAAGTCTAATGGAAGCATTGAACGATACAAAGCTCCCCTGGTGGTGGCTTGCAATCCATGGAAAGAGGGCATTGATTTCAAAGAGACTTTTGCCCCACGACTAAATTGGTTACTAATCGCACTCTATTAGTCGTTGCCGCTGCCCACAACTGGTATCTACACCAAACTACACCAAATGCACGTTCATAATGCATTCTTACATGGAGATCTATGAGATGAAATATACTTGACTCTTACTCCAGGTTTTGCTTCCAGGGGTGTGTATATATATATATATATATATTGTTTTTAAAAAAATATAATACAATATACGGAGTACTACTCTTATTATGAAGTCAGCAAAAAAAGTCAAATAATTAATCTCTAAATTTAGTACTTCTAGGTATACCTCCAGACGTATTTCTTGATATTCAAACCTATATCTAACTTTAATACTCATATGAATTCTCTCATTTTTTTTTTAAAGTTTTACGGAGTGTTTTTGATAAGTTTTGCGGAGTATTTGATAATTGGCATGATATTCTTTAATTTACTTTTTAAGACAACATTTTATACTTTGTTTTAAATTTTAGCCTATAATTTTGCGGAACAGCCCACAGCTTGAAGCTCGTAAGTTTTCATATGGGCCGGACTTAGGCTTGAAATATAGGCCCGTAATACGGGATGGGCCGGACTCGGGCTTATGAAATTTTAGTTATGTAGTGCCTTACTCCGGCCGGAAATCCAGCCCAGTCCAATATTTGATCAGGTCTATTGAAGTCCCAATCTGGCGGTAATTTTTTTTTAAAAAAATTACACTAAATACTTAAATAGGACTAAAATATAATTCATTTTTAATATAGAACAAAAAAAATTTTATTCCCTAAATAGGACTTTATAATATTTAGTGAGAGGAATTATATCCAGTAATGATAGACGTTTACCAGAATAATGGATAATGATTAATGGTCTTATATTGAGAAATAAAAACATACTCCCTCCGTCCCTAAATAGATTACAATTTTTTTCTCTCTCCTCTCGATAACTTTTGTTTGTTTACGCGATTTCATTAAGTATTTGATAAAATAAAATATTCTTGTCACCTCTTGTTTTATAGAACTTTTAACGCAATTTATTAATATGTAATTTTTATATCTTATTGATATACCAATTTGTAAATAAAATAATTTCAAAAAGTATGAAATTTTACTCCGTAACTCGTAATTTGTAATCAAATTGGGGACGGAGAGAGTATGATTTTATATTGAGAAAGTCATTATATTTTAGTTTTATTTAAATAAATTTGCCATTATTTTACTCTTCTCTCCAGCTTCTCTCATGTTTGGCTTTTGTAATTATGCCATGGGGGCCCACCGGCCCTTCCTGTCTCTAGTGACTGTTACGAAAAATGGTCCACCACTCCCCCCTCACATCAGCCATTGTGGCTGTCCACAATTATGAGGCCCCACCTCGTTTTTTAAACCTTATCCTTTCAATCCATATCCTTTTATATACTCCGTATTATATTTGGGAGTTTAACTCTTAGAATTTTGACATTTGTCATGCTGACGGGAATTTTTTTGACACTTCATAAGCCATGTCATTATATTGGACTTACTCAATATTTCAAACGGGTTGGATAATGATTCATTACATTGGGCTTCTTTTATTTGGGCTACTCTGTGTGGAATTCATGCGCAACTCTGAATGAAGCGAGACATCAGCGGCACTTTCCTTTGATTGCACCTCCCTGCGATATTAGCTGCGAGATTTCAGAGAATGTGTGATTGGAATTAATCTCTTTCCTTCTTCATGGTCCTTCTTCACGGAGATTCCAACGATCGGTACCAAGAATAGGTAACTTTCCCTTTTCTTGAAAAATCATAATTGTTTTGGGATGATTGGATTTCTTTCCTTCTTATGATGATTAGTCTCTGTGAAATTTTTTTCTTCTTTCGAATTTTCCGGTTCAAATCTCTGGATTTTCTACCCTTATTGCTGTAAGTTTCCTTCTTGCGATTTATATTAGGTCATATATAAATCAAATTTTAAGTAAGCCATTTCATCAATCTATTTTTTCATTGTAAGCCGCGTTCATACCTAAAACCTCTGATTAATTGAAATGTCTTCAAAACCAATCCACCCTTTGTTGAAGATCAATCCATCAAGTGAATGCTGAAGAGTTTTGGTTCGTGTTATTCGACTGTACAAGATGCCAGTGTATAATGATGAGAAGATGACGAATTCGATTAAGATGATATTCATGGACGAACATGTAAGAATTGTACTCTTATTCGTATTTTGCATACAATATAAAATTTGTTTAATACGATTTCTTATAATTTTTTAGAGGTTGGAAGGTTATTTTGCTTTTACTTTCAAAACACAATTATACTAATTTGTATAAAAAACCAAAATTCTTCAGTTGCCCATATTGAATAAATAAATGAAGAATGATAAGTATGTTGTTCTTAAAGTATAATGAGTCTGCTTTCCTTGAAGCTTCTATTTTCAGCACCATAAAAATAATTTTTTTATTAAAGTACTGAAGAGTTGAGTCTGTCCTTATTTTCAGATTTATAGTCTCCTGTTTTTGAACATATTTTATGGTGTGGAGTTTAGTTTTTAGTCTCTTGAAGTTTCTCCAGATTCAAAGTATTGAAAAAATAAAACACACTATAGTCTGTTCTGATTCTAAGTATTAAAAAACAAAACACACTATAGTCTGTTTAGTTTTTTTTAGTGCCTATTCATGTTGAAGTTTCTCCAGTGCCTAAAACCATGCGACTAAATTTTTTTTAATAGTGCCTAAGAAGAAATTCTTATAATTTATGTAATAATAACTCTGCCGTTCTTAAATTGTAATAAGTCTT